TATATATCATTAAAAAATAACTAAATATATTTAATTTTTTTGATAAACTGAATATATTTAATTAATTTAAAGATTTACATGTATAAATAAATAATACATACATAAAATAAGCAATCATTATAAAAATTAATTTAAATTATGTTAACGTGAATTAATACATAACTTGAAACAAATTTTAACCTTTCCCCTCACCCCGCTAACTTCAATTTCTGACCTAGTCCCTCTAGAGCTCTTGAGGAAAATATTTTATGAATAATTATTTTATATTATTTTTATATAATTTTATGTATTATTTAAATAATTAATTTTTTATTTATTTAAAACTTATAATATTAAACATATTTTTTATTTAATAATATATATTAGATAAAAAAATAAAAAATTATCTTTATATTATTGTCCTTCTCTAAACCAATATTCAATAAATGCTGGAGTATGTACGGTACAAATACTTATGATTATAAACAGTTTATAACAAACAAACAAAAATTAAAAACCGCATTTGTAAGAGTTAACTTATTATACCCACAATTTTTTACAAATTTTTATCAATCGTGAAAGGGACATTCTTGACAAACATTTCCACAAAATCTTCTTTATCACTGAAAATTCTTCAACTTTGGAATTTATATTGTCTTGTACCGAAAACATCCCTCCATCATTTTTTGACCATATCTTAGAAAAATCTACTGGGAAAGTTAAGATTTGTGTTGAAAGAAAAATGTCTGCTGGCCAACAATTGTTAATTTACTTATTTTAAAAATAATATATCTTAAATTCGAGTTGTATAACATTTGAATAAATTTAATTAAGAGATAGATGAAATTATTTTTTATTATATAACTTAATATATATACATGAAAAAATATTATACAGTTTGAACTAATTGGGACTATAAAATACTAATTGCTTGATAGGGGTTAAACTCTATGATATTAAGGATCCTTTCCCTAATATTTTTTGTTTTGCAGTTTAAATCAATTTAAACTGTAAAATAAGATATATAAATATAAATATAAATATAAATATAAGGCTGCTCACCTTAGGGTTACATATGCTGCTAATGATTTTGTAGTATATCTTACACTAAGTGCACTAAAATTTAAGTTTTTAAATGAATGAAAAAATTTACATGAATTTTATTGGTTATGATATTTATATTCTTTTTTTTTTTTTTGATGATAGTGGTTATGATATTCTTATTTAATACAACCGAATTACAAAACTTGATTCTCAATTGTTGCTGGCTTGTTAATTCTGAACCTGAAGGATCTCAGATTTTGACTTTTGTCTTCAACAAGTTTCTAATTTAGCATGGGCTTCAGGCCTAATCAAGAAATCAGCAACTTCGGAGTTCGGCCCGAAAATGTCTGTTGGGGCTGCAAGAGACACGAGTTCGAAACTTGAAATTGAAAGTTTAATATTATGAAACCGGCGACTGGGCTGACCTGCTCATGATTGAAGATGTCTCCTGAAAACCGCTCTTAATTCTCACTGCAATACATTAATGTTGTTCCTCAGAGAATTCCATAGATCCCTCGCAATCTTAAATAGCCCCAGATTTCTTCAAACTTACCTGCTAACACCATTTTCGATCAGATATGTCTCTGTAAATGCATCAGATAAACACTGATTGACAGTCTCTTACCCCATGAATTCATGTGGGTTTTCTCCACCATCCGCTCTTTTGCTTTCCAAAAGAGTTCAATTTGAAACCCAAAAGCCCCAGACTCACTCATTCACTTCTTGAGCAATCATGGTGTTGGAAACAAAAAAAAAGAAAAAGAAAAAAGAATAATTTGAAAAAAAATTTATTACTTTATTGAATAATACTGTATGTACAATAACTTATATATAAGTCATAATTCATAACTCACTCATAACCAAAATTACCAACCCGAGTGGTCCAAATAAAAACAAAATAACTAAAATCAAATATAGTTACTTGGGAGGTTTCTCCGCAAAAGCAATCCTTTCTCAATTTCCAAAATCACAAAACGATTAAAATTAAAGTTCAGGCATTGACAATAGAAAAAATTAGAGCAAAATGAAGGGTTCTATCTAAAATTAAAGTTCAGGTATTGTTTGGATTGGAGGTATCGGACGGAGAGGGAGGGGAAGAGATGGGGACGGATGATAGGGAGGGGGAGTGAGGGGAGGTTGTCCCCTTCCTCTTGTTTGGGTTTCTAAAGAGGCAGAAGGGGAGGGAGATCGACGGATTCGAACTCCCTCCAATTACCCTCAACTCTGCAAATTTGCAATCCTTCCAATTTGGGGGGTTTGGGAGGGATTGCAAGGATTATTTAGATTAAATTAAAGATAATTACATAATTAACCTTTTTATATATTATCATAAATTGTTATCCTCCACCTTAAAGGATAAATTTGTAAATTTAAAATTAATTTAAATACTTTCTTTTTTTTTACCTTAACTATCCAAATATAAAAAATATAATCCTTCCCTTCCCTTCCCTTCCCTTCCCCTTCCTCATTTTTATTTATCCAAACAAAATTAACACAAATCATCTCCTTCCATTTTCATCGCTTCCCTTTCCTTTCTTTCCCCTCCTTTTCCTTCTATTTTCCTCCGTCCCCCTCCCTTCCCTTCCCTTTACTGTTTTCTATCCAAACAGTACGGTGGAAGGGATTAGGCGACGATTTTGGAAGTTAGCTTTGGGATTTGACGATTGAAGACAAAGATTGATGCTAAGCCATGGACTTTGTAGATACTGAGGTTTAAGAGATGGATAAGATGATTTGGATTTTGATTTTTTTTCTTGATTGAGAGACCACAGGACATGTTGACAATAGATTGGAGAAGGAGGTGGCATGAAAACATCCAGTGGCACTGGGTTCCAACATGAAAATGGTTCAGTGGCCATGGGCTTTAGCGAGGAAGGAGCTCCGGCAGGGATGATGAAGAAATGGGATTTCATTTGTCGGGAAGAAGAAATTGGGGTTTAAGATTTCTAATTCAAAAATAATAATAATAATAATAATAATAATGATGTAAAGAAGTAGTGTGAGAAGGGTTCTTCGAATCGGTTCCAATTTGATTCCAATGCGGTTAGGCTTTTAAAGAATAAAATTATATAATTTATCAGTGTAAACCAAGGAAGAAAATTTTGTATCGTACCGGTCGGTACGACCGATACATATCGATTTTCAATGTTGATCGAAACAGTATAATATGAAAAATTCATTTCGGTCAAAATTCAATTGATTTGGTTAAAATTTGATGTACTGACTGAAATTTTGATGTACCGGCTTTGACTGGTACACATTGGCAATTAAAAATAAAAAAAAAGGATTTCCTAACCCAAAATGACGTCGTTTTGGGCTAGGGGCTTCTTATTACCCTGTAATTGGAATTTCAGATACTGGTCCCAAAAATTGTCCATATAACTCAATTCAAATTTAAAAAATGGTAAATTTCATTTTTGATCCTCAACTTTAATGTTATATATAATTTTCATCATTTAACTTTTTTATGTATTTTTAGTCCATTTTTCTTTTTCTTTTTTTAGTTCTTCTATCAATTATTTTGTTAAATTTGTCTAGATATACACATTTTTAGTTCCTTAATTTAAAATGGATGGACAAAAATATGTATATATTAAAAGTTGAGAAAGTAAAAATAATCATTTTAAACTTATTTTCAATTTATAAGAATATGATGGTTTTAAATATTAGTATCCCTTGTCTTATTTTAAAATTTGATATTTAATTTATAAAAATATATATTTATAGCGATAAATCTGAAACAGTACGTGAAAAATTTTGGTATCTGGCACGTACTATTTTAGTAACAAAATCGATACGCATACCAATATAATATTGACTACTTTTGTGTAAACACGTGGAAATATATACTATGAATAGAAAAGATTTTTTTGATTTTGCTCTAATATATGGATTTCTTACCTGGATGAAATTAATTTGGCATTTCATTAAAAAAATATATACATTATTTTTACTCCGTAATGCGCCTCTCTCACACTGACACCAGTCCTTCATGGCATTTTTATACGGTTGACATTAATTTGACTTTTATTAAAAAATATTATTTGTACTCCATAAGTACATACACCTCCCTTCCAGCAACGTCAACCCAAATCCTTATCACTCCGATTCCAAAAACTACTTTAACCATATCTCTCAGAAGCCATGCTTCGTTACCAATCACTTACCAAGAACTTTAGTAAAAAAATCCTTAACCTCGACCACCGCAACTACCACCACGAGCAAATGAGAAATTTTCTAAAACAGCTACCTCGCCCCTGCGACGTTTTCATCAGCCATCGAGGGATTGACACCAAGAGAACCATTTCTGGGTTGCTCTACAACCATCTAGTCAGTCTTGGGCTCAACCCGTTTTTGAACAGTAAGAACATGAAGCCTGGCGACCGGCTGTTTGACAAAATCAACGACGCTGTTCGACACTGCAAGGTTGGGGTTGCTGTCTTGTCCCCGCGTTATTGTGAATCATACTTTTGTCTCCACGAGCTGGCTCTGATGATGGAAAATAGGAAGAAGGTCATTCCAATCTTTTGTGACGTGAAGCCGTCGCAGCTCCAGGTTAAGGATGACGGGTCTCATCCAGTTAAGGAGCTGAGGAGGTTCCAATGGGCCATCGAGGAAGCAAAGTACACTGTTGGTGTCACATTTGACACATTGGGAGGGTTAGTATATGTTTTTTTCGTCTTATTTATGAAAAATAAAAATATGCTAACCCTCCCAACATGTCAAAATGAATAAGACAAATATATATGTATAATATTTTTTAAATCAGCCAAATCAGTCGGTTTAACTGGTCCAACCAGTCCACCACCCAGTTGCTAAAACGGGTTGGGTGGGTATGCAGGCTTATTTGGACGATCGGACCGTTTAGATCCAGAAAACCCCCTTACCCAAATCCCGTCGGGCAAATTACTCCAGGCTGGACGCTGCAACTTCTTTTATTTATTTATTTTTCCACGGTGGGTTCAGAGTTTTGAGAAAATTTCCTCAAATTTGCCACCTGCAAGGTTCGAACACATGCAACTTCTTTTATTAGTATTTTTTTTTTCCACGGTGGGTTCAAAGTTTTGAGAAAATTTCCTCAAATTTGCCACCTCCAACCTCGAACACATGCAACTTCTTTTATTTATTTATTTTTTCCACGGTGGGGTCAAAGTTCTGAGAAAATTTCCTCAAATTTGTCACCTCTAAGATTCGAATATGACTTTAAGTAATTTTTCAATAACTTTTGCCACTAGGGCATTACGTTAGAAGTTGATACCTTTTGCTTAAAAATTTATATCTTTTATCTTTACGAAAAAAAAATTGAAAATGCAATTTAAGATAATTGAATTTTCTTTAACTTTATCAAATTCTTCCACTTGATGATGTGAAAAAAAATATTGTTAATTTTTATATTAAAATTAATATAAATTTTGTTTAATTTATATTTTAAAGGTATAAATTAAAGTATAATTTATAATAAATTATAAAAGAATTATAAAAA